ATATAAAACCCTTACCTATCGATCTTTAAAACCATATACCCTCAGTCATAGGATACAAAACCCTTTCTCGTTTAACTATAGAACAGTCTGCCCTCAGTCGTAGAATATTAAACCCATTCTCATTTAAGTATATAACAATCTACCCTCAGTCATGGAATATAAAACCCATTCTTATTTAAGTATAGAACAATCTACCCTCAGCCATAGAGTATAAATCCTTTTCTCATCGAACTATGAACTGATATATTCTCAATGATAGAATACAAAACCCTTTCTCATCAAGCTATGAGCTAATGTGCCCTCAATTGTAGAGTACAAAACCCTTTCTCATATAGCTGTAGAACAATCTACCGTTAACTCAGTAAATAATAAACCTTTCTTATATAGACGTAGACTAAGAAACTATTCTAAAGTTTGCGTAGAACGATCTATCTTAGGTCGTCGAATAATAAATTATTTGTTTAAAACTGTAGAGTTATCAACCTTTTTGTTGCTATCTTTGAATGATCTATTCTTATGTGTAGAATAATAAACTGTTCTGCTAGTATTGTAGAATAATGTACCCTTATGCGTACAATAATATATGATTTTAACAGAAGCGTTAGATAATATATCGTTGTCGGTGCAAGAATAAACTCTTTTGATGAAAACGTTGACTAGAAAACCCTTAAATATGTATTACATACCCTTTTCATCTTAATATACCCTCACTGCCAAAAACGTTTTGAATCATAAACTCATGAAGAGTACTTGACATCAGCATGAACCTTTCAAAGGTTTATAAAACATTTTTTTAAGGGCAACGGTTGATTCAGATGCCCTTTTTTTTTACAGTGCACTATATTCTCAAGAAATATGACATAGTAGGTTTTGTAGAGAAAACTATGCTCTATAAAACTTACTATGTCATATTTCCTGAGAATACATTCGGTTCAAGATCAGAGACCCGACTTTTTCCTATATTTATAAGGAAAAAAATGAGATTTTAAGCTATTTTACTATGTTTTGTATTTTGACGATAGTGTCATTATTTCTCAATAGAATTCAAAACTTCCTGATACGAAAATGATCAGCAGAAGAAGCTCTACAAAGTTTGAGGGAAAAGAAAATTTTCCCAGAAATTTTTTTAGATACTTTGTTTGACATCCCATAAAACTACCCTATACTAGACTCAGATACTCCCCTATGGAAATCGGTAAAAAAAAAGGATCAGATCTAGACAAACGGATATCAGATTCGTGTTCTAGGTGACAAGGACTTTCGTCTGATGACATTTCTAGAGGGTGGAAAAATTCATCATTTTGGATCACCCCCTTTCATCCAAGTGCTCAATCTTAGTGCATTTGTATATGTTTATTATAAAATTGAATAAATTATTATCACGTACTCTGCATTATATACAAATCTTGCTTATTTATATTACATCATTTTTTTACCTATATAAAAACTACAACTAATCATATGAGTTTGCATCATTCAATGTAAACTCATCATCAATTAAAAAAAACAATTTAAAATAGCTACATTTGATCGTAAAACTTTTTAGGACTGATAAAATGTTCTTTAACAAAAACACTTTTTAAAACAGTAGAAAATAAAATTTATTCGTCTTTTCTATTTAATAGTCATCATTTTCTTAAGGTTTTTTTCCTCCTTACAACACCAGTATTACTTTGACAATGCTTGATTGATTAAGTTCTTATCTCCTAAAACTCACCGTTCAGATATTAAGAATAATAATAAAATACTCGTCTAACATAAATTTCGATTTCAAAGCTTTCATAGATGTACATGCATTAAAATTGATTATTATCATATACATATTGTGATTCTTATGACTTACTCGATTTTCAGTATAGTTCACTAGAATAAATCTATTTTTCTTATAATAGAAACTGCGATATTAATAGTGTTACATGTGTTAATGCATTAAAATATATTATTATCATGTCTGTTTTTAGCTTAATTGAACGATTCAATTGTCAAAAGATTTAAAATAAATAGAAAGTGTTACAATTCTGATATAGATTTTCACGTTAAAACTTTTGTAAATGTTATTGCATTAAAATGCATTACCTTTAGGACATGTGTATGATCAACTACATGTCAATTCAATATATTAAACTACTATTCTATTGTTACTTGGTAAATATTGATCCTCATTCATTATTACGTAAAAATTGATTAAGATATATGATTATCAAATAATTTATTTTGATTATCAACCAAGATGTTCATGATGCTATCTTGAGGGTATGGGTGTGAGTGTGAATAATAAAGATAGATACACCCACACCCACACCCACAACCACACCCACACCCACAACCACACCCACACCCACACCCACACCCACACCCACACCCACACCCACA